CAGCCATGGCTCACGGGCCCAGCCGCTCCGCGGCATGTGGGATCTTCCCGGACCGGGGCACGAACCCGCATCCCCCACATCGGCAGGCAGACTCCCAACCACTGTGCCACCAGGGAAGCCCCTACACAGTATTTTTAAACAGCAAAATTATCTCACAGACTTGATCTTTTATCAGGATAATGAAAATCAGATTTGGTTTAGACAAAGTACCATTAGAAGTTTTATTCATGGATATGATGTTCAAGGCATTTAAGAAATCCCCAAGCCTGCAGTGTGGAAGTGGATGGCACAACCCTGGAGCTATCAGCAAAGCCTCTTTGTGTGCTGCTGTTTCTGTTGGTAAAAGACAACACTCAGAAAAAAGTCTGACAGTGCCAGGAAAAGGACTCAGAAAATAATTTGAAAAATGTGGAAAATAATTTGATAAATGTATTATGTATCCAAGCTTCGATGGGGTGATGATCCTTATCTGTGGCTTATGTGTGAGCTCTGTAGTCAACTGCTCAGCTAGTTTAATTTGCTCAGGAGATGAGGAAAGACTTGCATTTTGTGAATCCCAGGAAGAAGACTGACCAACATCTTTGTCATACTCCAGAGCAGATTTTTTTTTTTTTTTTCGCGGTACGCGGGCCTCTCACTGTCGTGGCCTCTCCCGTTGCGGAGCACAGGCTCCAGACGCACAGGCTCAGCAGCCATGGCTCACGGGCCCAGCCGCTCCGCGGCATGTGGGATCTTCCCGGACCGGGGCACGAGCCCGTGTCCCCTGCATCGGCAGGCGGACTCTCAACCACTGCGCCACCAGGGAAGCCCCCAGAGCAGATATTTTAAAATCCAGTTTCAGCACGGAGACCCTATTCAGTTGCTTGGTATGGCTACTGGAAGTGAGATCTTACAAAATCTTCCAGCTTGTCATGAGGCACAGTGGGATTGGGTAAGGAGTAACAGAATACAGTATTTCAGCCAAAACTTTTATTATGGCTAAAAAATACTGGGAAAAAAACCCATATCCTACTTTCTATAACATACAACTATTGACATATACAGACAAATAATAACTTAAAGGAACAAATAGTTACAAGCAAACTTAAAGCTCAGCCCTCACCAGGTGGTGGTTGTTTTTTCAACTCCCGCCCAGTGATCTTTCCAGTCTGTTCGTTCTTGCTCTTGAGCAGCCAGATTTTAGTCTGCTGGGAAGAGAGAATTTATGGGATGTAGCACCAGATATACTGTTGATCTCCAAAAGTGCGCTAGCTCTTAGGGCTGTGGGGGGAGGGGAGTAGCTGTGATCTTTAGGCTAGAAAGACTTCCTGAGGGAGAAGAGTGTGGAGCAGAGTTAAGAAGAAAGCATGGGAAAAAATTAAAAAAAAAAAAAAAGAAAGCATGGGGATAAGTACTTTGATCTTAAGAAGTGGGATACAGATTATTAATAGTGCCTAGATTTATATGAAGTTTATTTTAAATACCTCCTATCTATCTACTGAGCAACTACGAAAACTAAACTCATAGTCCAGTTGTCTGAGAGGCTGCAGACATACATGTATGTAAAACTAGGAGGAAATTTCTGGCAGAATTAGGATAGTGACTAATACATTACCAGACAGTAAAGCATGAACCCAGAATGTGGGTCAAGTCGCTGCAGTTCTGGATATATGTCAGGGTTTGGCTCCATGGGGAGGGAAAAAAGGCACAAATCTGTGGCCTGGGGGTTGAAAGTCTAGGCTTAGGTTGCAGCTCTCCTACTAGCTGTGTGCCCTTGGACAAGTGACACACTCTGAGCTTATTCATAAAATAGGGATAATATCAACTCTGATTCCTCAGGATTACTGAAAAGGATCAAAATGAGTTAAACGTTGAATTCAAAAAGTACAATAGAAATGTGAGGCAATATAATTAGAAGAGAATAAAGGATTTTCATACACATTTCATTTGCATCTCGCAAAAAAAAAAAAACCTAGAAAATGCACATTAGCATTTCCATTTTCCACAGAACATTGACTGCCAGATACCGTCCTAAAGTCACGTAGCTAATAAGCACCTGAACCTATGAACCTAAACTCAACGCTTCTTGGGATTTCAAATCTCACGCTCTTCTGATTGCATTAGGTAGGAGCAAGGGAGAGCTGAGAACATTTAAGGAGGTTATTCAAAGGACCGGTTCTGGGGAGTAACTTAGCAATTAACATGCGAGAAGGTGACATCTGAGTAGAGCTGAGTGGGAGCCCGGAGACAGGGGAAGGCTTCATTCACAGAGAGTCTCTGGTATTCCTGCCCCTGGAGGGAGGAGGAAGTGCAGTTTCACCTCCATCCCTGGACCGCCAACCCAGCTTCTCCCCTAGACCATCGTTCGAGGCGGGAAGGGGGCGGGGTATCGGAAAGCCTGACGCTTAATGGTGAGTCCTCGGATTTTAAACAGGGAGGAAAGTCCTGAGAGGGCGACGTATAGTTCCTTTTTATGTCTCGCTGTTCACGTAGCCCAGAGGGGCAAAAAGGCGAAAGCCCATGGAGCATCGAGAAGGACCACAAGCCTCACAGCCACCATCTTCTTGGTTCCGGCAGAAGACTACCAGGACCATAATGCAACGGTGCGCCGAGCCAATGGGTCGCATCTCGCTGCACACATGCAGGGAGATCCAATTCCCAGGGAGCAGCGAGCGGAAGACTACGAGGCCCATCAGGCAAGCCAAGGGCCTCTTCTTCCGATGACTGGCCTAGCTCTGGAAAACCTGCCCACACCCAGGATCCTCCGCGCGCAAGATGGCCGCGCCGGGAGCGGAAGCGGAGGGGAGGAGGTGCTAGGCTCTACGCCCCCTCGGCCTTCCGTGAGGACCATACCAGTCCGGAGACGGAAGCTCATGGACCCGACAAATGCGTATTGCCTTTTCTCGCCGTGACCATGGGGGCGTACTGACAGAGCCTTTGATCTGATAGGCAACCCCAGCATTTCGCAGCCCTGACTTGGAACCTCCCCGAGGACGGCAGTGTAAGCGCGGTCTCTGCGTTCCGACCGAGGCAGGAGGCCAGTCAGGCAGGTCCCTCTGTCCCGACAGGTGGGACACTGAGCACTCCATGCCAGCGGGCGCGGGGAGGCGTGGCCTCCCCCAGGGCCGCCACCTCTGCTGGTTGCTCTGCGCTTTCACTTTAAGGCTCTGGTAAGGAGGGGCTGAGGGCAGGGAAAAGGAGGGGACGGGAGGATCGGATCGTCCCCGCCCCCTGTGTCCCTGGACCGTGGAGGTGGGGGTGGGGTGGGGGGAGGTTCCCTGTTTTCCGGCTTCTGACTTTTGCCCATTTCCCCCCCTCACCCGCATCAGCCAAGCAGAAGCTCCCGTGCGGGAGGAGAAGCTGTCAGGTGGGTGATGGTCTGGGAACCCGACGCCCCTATAGTTGTTTTGTTTTGTTTTGACCTCCTTCCATATACCTAGAGATCAGGTGGAAAAGGGCGGCACCACGTGGAGCGAGGGCATTCAGCTGTGCTGGGAAGTTGATGGGCAGAACTTAGGGGAGAAATATTTTCTCAACGAGGTCTGGGGCTTGCATTTCTCTCCCTCTCTAGTGAGCACCTCAAATTTGCCGTGCTGGCTGGTGGAAGAGTTTGTGGTGGCGGAAGAGTGTGCTCCATGTTCTAATTTCCAGGCTGTGAGTATCTGTTTTCTCTCCCCTTCTTCTTACATCGAATCAGACAGGGACTGTCTATCTAAGTATGCCTTTGCATTGTCTTTTCGTCTTTTTTCCTTGCAGTCTCAGTGTGAGCCCAAATCTAAATTGGTCTTGCCCCTGAAAATGTGCCCTTTTCTTTCCAAGTTAATGGCAACGTTCAGCTAATAACCGTGTTCTGTTCATTTTTAATCTAGTAGGCTCTGGAACCTGCCCTTGCCTCTCGTAGACTATTGACCCTGAAGTGTTCTTAGTTCTCATCCTGTAACCACCACCTCATCACCCCCGTGAGAGCTCTTCATTAGTTCTCTGTTGCCTACCAGCTCTGAGCCGTAGCACTTGGACACCTGCCCATTCTGAATGGCAGCCTTCCTGTTTCTCCTGCTGCCCCTTCCTAACAAGTGCTTTGGTCCTTTCCTCCTGGCAGAAAACCACCCCCGAGTGTGGTTCCACAGGGTATGTGGAGAAAATCACATGCAGCTCAACTAAGAGGAGCGAGTTCAAAAGGCAAGTGCTCTTTCTCTTCTTGAATCCTCCTAGATCACCTCCTTTGCTTCTGTGACTTTAGGTAGATAGTCCTGCCTCTTACTGTTTGTATGGAGGTAGCATGGCATATTGGAAAGGGGAGGGGATTTGGAGGCAAATTACTTGAACCGAAGTCCCAGCTCTACTCCTCAGCACTATATTATTGGCCATATTTTCTCATCATTAAAACTGGTTAATACCAGCTCTGCTTATCTCACCAGAAAATAAATTAAATATTTGAATGGGACTAATGTACTGTAAACCCTTTATTTTTATTTTTGGCCGCACCATGCGGCATGCTGGATCTTAGTTCCCCGACCAGGGATCGAACATGTGCCCCCTGTAGTGGAAGCGCGGAGTCTTAAGCACTGGACCATCAGGGAAGTCCCTGTACTGTCAACACTTTAGAAGGCTGACGCTGGTTTCCTCTTTTCTCCTCAGATATATCTTGGTGAGGATGAAACAGGAGGGAGATAGAGGGAGAGGCAGTCTGGTCTTCCCTGGGGATAACTGTTTCTTCTTGCCCTCAGCTGCCGCTCAGCTCTGATGGAACAACACTTATTCTGGAAATTCGAAGGGACTGTCATAGGTGTGGCCTTGGTCTTTGCCTGCCTTGTCATTGTTCGTCAGCGACAACTGGACAGAAAGGCGCTGGAAAAGGTCCGGAAGCAAATTGAGTCCATATAGCTACCTCCTCCCCTTTCATCTGGGTCTTAGAGACCCTACCTCAGACAGAAAGGGGAATGAACTGACTCGTGCCCCTGGTTCTCTGGAACCTTGTGGTGGCACCCCCTTTCTCCCATCTTCCTCGTCTAAATCATTAATGAGCAGAATAAAAAGAGTAAAATGGTTTCCTTCCCTAGTGTAATTTGGTTTGGGGCAGGAAGTCATGGGGGTAGAGAGGGAAAGGGGGTGGCAACTTTAGGCCCCAGTTTACCAGGTACCTATCTTCCTCCCTCTTCTACTATTACTTAAAACTGTCAGGATACAATTTTAGCAAAAAAAAAAATTTATTTCTCAGCCAAAATGTCAGTTTCCCCTCAACCCTATCCCCAAAGAAGAAATAAAATCACAGATACATGACAAAAGTATTTGAGGTGCCCCTTGACATAGGCAGACTGAGCCATGGGGTACAGACATCTAGGGCATCCTGATGTGATTCAGACCCCTGAGGCCAAACAGCCCTGAGTGGGAACCCCAGGAGGAAGCAGAACCACAGCCAGCAGAGCCCTGGATTCCTTATTGTGATTGGGAAGTGGGCCAGGAAGTGTTACAGCTCACATTTCATCTGCATGCAACACAGTTCTGATGTGCCTGCTGGGGCCTGCCCTCCCTCCTGTCTTCTCAAGCAGTGTCCTTGTTGAGCCATTTACACCCTTGGCCCCAGGTGGCCCCTCCAATCTGGACTCCACCGCTGGATTCTCCAGATTTTCTGTCATGTCCTTGTGAGTCAGGATGTTTCTGGAAATCACTGTGGGGTGAAGGAAAAAGGGCAGTAGAATAGTGCTCCCTTGGTTGGGGATCCTAAACAGAACAGGACCTCCCTCCCACTTCTTGACTACTCTGGAAAACAGAGTCCTTTCCTGCCCTTGCCTCTCACCTCCATGAGGCTGGTAATCCTCAGGCCCAGCTTCTGGTAATCCCTGAAAGGGGCTGAAACTGGGCAGGATGATGAGAGCCAAGGAGAAAAGAAGGATCTGGGAAGAAGCAAGAGGATATTTGGGCTGTGGGGACAATAAGGGAAGGGGGCAGAGTGACTAGGGGGCAGTTGGGGTCATCAGGGATGGGAAGATGGGTCTGGCTGTGGAGTGGGGGCAGCAGGATGGCGACCTGGCAGAAGGTGGAGGAGGCGGCAGGGGAGATGGGAAATAGATTAATGGTACCAGAGCACAAGTGCTAGTCTGGGCGGCTTTGTTGGAGGTGTGAACAATGAGCATCTGCAGCTGGCGGAGCTGAGTCACCAGGGAGCTGGGAGACGAGGGAGGAAGAGTTAGGTCTCCTGGGAGCCAGGGCCCAAGCACGGCGTCCCTGTGTGCCGCACCCTTACCCCAACACACGCACTACGTTTTCACTCACGTGTGGTGCCTCTCCAGCTCCTGGACTTTTTTCTGTAGTTCCTGGTTCTGTGCAGAACAGGCAGCCACCCTAGGAAGGGTGGAAAGGTAGGATAAGGCTCTGTAATCATTGAGTCCCTGACCTTGCCTGCCTTGGTGAGGAAGGGGGCCCAGTCGTGAATCCAGAAATGTGAGTCCAAACACACCTGCTCTCTAGTCCATCGATGTACTCCTTCTTCCGCCGCCGACTGTCCTGAGCTGACTGCTTGTTACGGATTTTCCTCCTGACCTTCTTGAGGACCCTCTCCTCTGCCTGGGGGCCCAGGGTGTGTCAGTCCTGGGCCCTTAACCTCCCCCAACTCCTCAACTCTTCCCCTGCTATCCTGGCTCCTCAGAGGCCATGGTAGAGCCGCTGGGTTACGATACCCTTTGGGGAAGCGTGTTACCTTGGTGAGGGGCAGGTGAGAGGGTAGGGACACCCCTTCCTGTCCCAGCAGACGCTTCTCCTCTTCTGTCAGGAGCAAGGTTTGACAGGGCAGCTGGTGGGGGACGAGAGAAGATGAGAATGGAGAGAGGGTCATCCCATTTTCAGTACTCATGCTGTTCCCCTTGCATGCCTCCTGGAGAGAGTTTCCTATTTGCACTGAGGAATAACAAACCGTAAAATGAGATGAGGGGCAGGGACCTTCATGCAGACAGACTTAATTAAACCACAGGGACTTCCTGAGGCTGACAAGGGAGAAAGGTGGTTTTGTCATATTTTTGCCCACAGACTTAAGACCTTGGCAATCACAGCAAGTTGCGAAGGGCCTATTCTGGTCCACATTTGCGCAGACCTTGTGGGTATTGGAAGAGGATGTGGAGTAACTCACTAAGGTAGGGTTTGCTTGACCTTACAGCAGGCAAATGATTCATTGTCAGCCATTAACTTCAGCTTGGCACAGTGTTACCATGACCTGCCAACCACAAGGAGATCCCTGGGGCGATGGCCCATCCTCCCCTAGGGGCTGAGCCCTACCTTTCAGACTGAAGTTCTGTCCCCTCTCAAAGAATTCCCCAAAGGCAACCAGGCTGAACAACTTCTCATAACAAAGTATGTGGGGAACATAGACAGGTGTCTGGTTAATGTGAGCCCATCAACTGAGTAACTTGCTTTTCTAACTAATACTTCTTTTTGAAAGATTTATGCTTCACTTTGTGACTCAAGAGGAATTTGCTTTTGCCTGTTGATGGTCTTTGGCTTTTAGCTAAACCACTTCTATCTCTGCCTTATTCTGATGTTCCCTTCTTGCCTCTGTGACTATTTGGTGAATCGTTAGAGGGGTGTCCCTCCCAATCCACCTAATCAAAATCTCTAAAAATGAGGTCTAGAGGTATTTATGTATGTATGTATGTATGTATTTTTGGCCGCGCCGTGCGACTTGTGGGATCTTCGTTCCTGACCAGGGATGGAACCCGTGCCCCCTGCAGTGGAAGCGCAGAGTCCTGACCACTGGACTGCCAGGGAATTCCCCTAGAGGGTTTTATTTTATTTTATTATTTTTTTTTTTTTCGGTACGCGGGCCTCTCACTGTTGTGGCCTCTCCCGTTGCAGAGCACAGGCTCCGGACGCGCAGGCTCAGCGGCCACGGCTCACGGGCCCAGCCGCTCTGCGGCATGTGGGATCTTCCCGGACTGGGGCACGAACCCGTGTCCCCTGCATCGGCAGGCGGACTCTCAACCACTGCGCCACCAGGGACAAAACCAAAAACAAAACCAAACCAAACTGGGACTTCCCTGGTGGTCCAGTACAAACTCCCCAGTGTTTCTGATGCACACTCAAATTTAGATGCCTCAGACTTTTTAAGATTCCTCAGCCCAAGATTCTAAGATGCTTGGCTTGGCTTCTGGTCTCAGCTTCAACCACAGATTTTCAGGGAGGCTAGAACCTATTCCCTGCCTTTTGCACACAAGGAGTTCTTTTCAGGATAAAGGGAGGAACAGTGACCTGGGCAAGACCCCCTCCTCATCCCCGCTGCAGGAACCAGCCCAGCTAGCCTTGGGAAGGTATGTGATGTGTTACTCCCCTACACTGTAACCATGGGCAGTGGGTGCCTGGTGAACCATTGTTCCAGTAAAAAACGTAGTTGCAGTTGCTTCTACATTCTGTGCCCAGTAACCAGTTGGATTCCCAGGTGGCCTGTCACATTTCCACATCCTGACCCAAAGCCGAGACGATGGCCCTAGCTGAGCAGACAATGCTCATGGGTCTGGGCTTTCTCCAAACCCTATCCCTGGATTCCGTCAGCCCACCCTCTCCTTAACTGAGGCATCACCCCCTTACCCCCAAGGGATTCTGTCTCTGTTGTCTTTTCCTGCTCTTAAAGTTGCCCACATCTCCCTGGCATTCAGGCCTGATGCCACAAAAATTAGGGCAAAGACAGTGTTCAGCATCAGTTTTCCCCTCCCTCATCCCCTTCTCCCCAGTTCTGTGTATCAGGGAGTACTGAACCCAGCTGACCCCCAGGACTCACCAGGGCTGCAGGAGGCACTGAGTTTACAGTGCCTGCTCTGGGCAGGATGTGGGCATGAGCATCGGGAGGCAGCTCACTGACCACACAGGCATCAGGCACCATAAATGGTGGGCTCGACTGATCTGAGGGAAACATAGGTGGCTGGGAGAAAGGAGATGGATGGCCGCAGGCCCTGGGTAGTGGCACAGGTTGGGGAAACTCCCTTAACCCCAGGGTTAGGGCTGGACCTGAAGGGCCATTGTCCGCTTCCCACAAAGAACACTGACCTATTTGGATGGAGATGAGCCCTACAGCTGGCCCAGCTTCCCCCTGCATCCTCTCTAGGGTCCCTGCCTCATAGACAGCCTCATAGAGGGCAGGGGAACTGGGTGGCCTGGGGGCAGGGGGACTGTCTGGATGGCGAGGATCCTCAGAGATTCCACTGTCACTGCCAGGAGATGCTTCTGAGCAGTATACTTCATTGGGATCAATGAAAAGTTTCAGGAAATCTTCAGGCTCGCTCTCTTGAAGACCCTACAGTAGAAGACGGTGTATATGTGTGTAAGGAAGAATTCTGGAAGTCCTATCTAACGTCGAAACCAGATCCTTCATGCTTCAGTTTCAGTCCCTTCTGTCCTTGGACATGAGGATAGTTACAGCTCATGTCGATTTTAGGGGCTCTGTCTTCAGACTTCTAAGTGGAAGCTGAAGCCTCTGGGACTTCTTATCACAGAGTTGTCTCAACCCACACCCACTCCCATTCATCACACTCACACAGCCATGGCCCCCACTGGACTCCCAGCCTTGCAGCCCCTGTTCCTGTAGCCTAGTTACTGGGACCTCTGAAGGTGGACCATGGAGTCCCAGCTCCAGGAAGGATCCTGTTGAGAAGACGTCTTCTGGAGGCTCCAGCCACATTTCCAGCAGGTCAGGGGTTCTGAAATCCATGCTTCTGCGGGGAGGCATGCGGGGGGAAGGGGGGTAGTTGCAGAAGGAGAATGATGGCTCTCCCCCTCCCCCACCCACCCCCAGTTTCTGGGCTCCTCTCCCTCTTCCATTATCCCCCTTCCTCACCTGTGCAGCCCCCTCACCTGTCTCCCGGAGCTCTCGCCTTCGGCCTTATCTCTCTGGTTCAGACCAACAGGCAGCCCCCTGGGTATTACCTGTTCCGAAGAGCCCAGCCCTGCCAAGCCAGCCTAGCCCGTTGATGGCCCCAAACACTACACCTTTTCTTTCCTCCAGGATCTTGCATCCTGGACCTGCCTAGCCAAACCCCGCCCCCAGCCTTACACTACGTAAGTGGGTTGCACCTAGCCAGAAGCCACGATAGGGGCGCAGTAGCTGGAGCAGGGGGTTAAGAGGAGGAGCGTGCACAAACCGGTCTTAAAACAGCAGCCTGCCCTTTCTGCCTCAGTTTCTCCTAGCGATAGCAAATCTTCCTGAGGGTTTGCTGGCTCCTCAGGGAAGGATAGAGATGGTTGTGACTGGAGCACAGGACGCTTGAGTGCCTGTGCTCTGGACGTCAGTTTTACAGGCGGGAAACCACGGCGGGGTTGAAAACAAAAGAGGGAAGGGTCCATAGGATTGCCGAAGACTGACAGAGGCATCCCTTCCCCCACCCCGTGGCGCTCTTCCCACACTTGAGTCTGATTGGACGCTAAAGACATCCAGAGGTTTTTGAGGGGTAGTGCATTGAGCCAATGGGATTACCGTCTCGAGGCAGGCTCCACCGTAACTGGTCGGAACGGGCTGTCAGAGAAGGAGTGGGGCCAATGCAGCCGGAGCACTTATTTGTCTGGCGGGGGTTTGGTTCTGAGGGAGGGTAAGAGCCAGACGACTTACTGTAGGGAAGGGGTGGGGTATGTGGGGGGGGGGGGCGCCGGGGGAACTTCCGGAATGTGGACTGAGGCTTGGTTTGGTTTCACTTGCCACGTGACTCCGAAGTGTTAGGGAGTAAATAACCTGTTGACCCAAGTTATGTGACAGCACTTTGACTCAGCGGGCCGGGAAAGTCGCGCAATCGCAGGTTGTCCAAATCCGTAATCCATGCATTATGCCACTGATAAAGAACAGCACTTATATACGCACACTCACAGGACTCTCTTAACTAACGGAGGGACAAGGGCCTAGAAAACTGCAAGAGGTTAAAAAATCATTCGGATTTGGTTTGGGAATGACTTATTTTTTGCGTATGATTACCAACGACAATATGCAATATGTGTCCTGCATTTGTATAGTTTACAAAATGTTTTTTTGTAAGCATTGTTCCTCATTTAATACACAACAGCGCTGAGGTAGACAGGGCAGGTAATGTTTTACTAACTTTACCAATGAGAAGACAGATACATGACTAGAATGTAGTAACACCAAAACTCAGGGCATTTTGCCTTGGTCCAGAGACTGATGACCCAGGAATTCACTTTAAATAAAATAATGGATATAGGATAATACTGATATAGGTATGATTTTTCATCTGCCTGCCTCCCCATCAGTACTTCAGATAAAGGATAGCTGAGTGAATAAAGCACAAAAATATGGGTTGATCCAGAGTTCAAACTGGTATTCGTCCCGTGAAAATTTAGATGGGCTGAGGGTGAAGACAAGAACAGGATCTAATATTTATTGAGTAACTGATATATGGTCAGGTATTTTCATGTTACTCATATAATTCTCATAACAACTCACAGCTGGCAGAAAGAAGTTAAGTAACTTTCTCAAGATTACTCTTGTTGACTGAAAAACATTGCACAACCCAAAAGTTGAAAATTTTGTTTTATTTGGCAGTCTGAGGACTTCAAGCCTGGGAGGCAGCCTCTCAGATGGCTCTAAGGGACTGCTCCAAAGAGGTAAGGGAGGAACCAGGATATACAGGAGTTTTTGCAACAAAGACCAGGTATTAGGAACATCAAAGGATTATTATTAATTAAAGAAAACCAGATATCTCAAGTTAATGAAGTTAGTACTCTATGTATGGGAAAATGTAAGAGCTTGGGCTCACTGAAATTATTCCTTTGATTTACACCTTAGCTCCTTAGGGCCAGTTTCCTGTTCTATCCCATCCCAAGTCCCTCAGGGCACACCTTTGGAGGTGGCTACAGTGGCTGAGGGCCTGGCAGCAGGGCAGGCCATTCCTATCCATCCTGAGTTCTCTCTGGGCTTACCAGGTGCCTGTAGTGGCTTGATGGCTGCAACATCCTTTGTTTACTCATATGGCAGGCAACATTTTTCATTCACACTTTGTAAGTAGCTGAACCAAGATTTGGATGCCTGAGCCCATATTCTTTGTACTATACGAAGCTACCTTGCTGGGGCTTTCTCAAATTTTCCCACTCTGGCTTTCCTGCTCATCTCCCCGCATCTTGCTCAAGTAGTGAGGAGACAAAGCAGGCTTCCTAGATTCATGCAGAGCTCTAAGGAAAGCAGAGCTGTCCTTGCTGAGATCTTTCCTAGAGGAAGAAAGTTTTCAAAGGGCTTCCTGCAGGCTGCATGTGTAGAGATGATTAAGTGGAAGATATACAGTCGTCCCTGCTTATCCGTGGGGGATAGGTTCCAAGATCCCCCTCAGACACCAAAGTCCTCAAATGTTCAAGTCCCTTAAGTAAAATGATGTAGTACAGGCAGCCCTCTGTATTCGTGGTAGCAGTTCCGCATCTGTGAATAGGGAGGGCTGACTGCTCTCAGCCTCTGTTAGAACTGGATGGAACCTCTGGCATCATCTGCTAGTCTAACTTCCCTCTTCCACCTGATTTATCAAGCTCCTGAGAGGGAAAATGACTTGCCTAAGATCACACATCAAATTAAGGTAGAGCTGGGACTAGAACCCAAGTGTCCTGACTCCCAGTCCATGATTCCTTGTTAATTTACTAATTAACAGTAATCTTGAAAGCATAATTTGTGACGGACAAACCAGTGCATGCATATTATTCCCTTGAATAATCTGGAGTTTTCCCTAATAGTAATTTTTATCTTTTTTATTTTAAAATATTTATTTATTTTGGCTGAGCTGGGTCATAGTTGCGGCACATGGGATCTTTGCTGGGTCATGTGGGCTTATAGTTGTGGCATGTGGGCTTCTTAGTTGCGATATACGGAATTTTCTTTAAAATTAATTATTAATTTTGGCTGTGTTGGGTCTTCGTTTCTGTGCGAGGGCTTTCTCTAGTTGCAGTGAGCGGGGGCCACTCTTCATCGCGGTGTGCGGGCCTTTCAGTCGCGGCCTCTCTTGTTGCGGAGTACAAGCTCCAGACGCACAGGCTCAGTAGTTGTGGCTCACAGGCCTAGTTGCTCCGCGGCATGTGGGATCTTCCCAGACCAGGCTCGAACCCATGTCCCCTGCACTGGCAGGCAGATTCTCAACCACTGCGCCACCAGGGAAGCCCCGGACTTTTTTTTTTTTTTTTTTTTTTTAATTTGGCTGTGTCGGGTCTTAGTTGTGGCAGGCGGGATCTTTTGTTGTGGCGCATGGGCTTCTCTAGTTGCAGCGTGTGGGCTCCAGAGTGTGTGGGCTCAGTAGTTGTGGCACGTGGGCTTAGTTGCCCCGCAGCATGTGGGATCTTAGTTCCCCGACCAGGGATCGAACCTGGGCCCCCTGTATTGGGAATGTGGAGTCTTACCCACTGGACCACCAGGGAAGTCCCAGTAATTTTTATTTTTTAATGAAGAGCTTGGAACAGCAACGATACTTTCATTAAGTGACAGGACACCAATACCACATTTCACTTACATCCTGATCTTAGAATCCTGTATGATTCTTTTCTCCTAGACCCCCTCCACCAAGAAGTCCTGATATTCCCTTTTCTTAAGGAAGTTGCTGGCCTGCATTTCCAGAGCCTTCTCAGAGGCATCACCATGTCCCTTCTTTAGGTGAGGCCTTTTCACATTTGCAAAAAAAAAAAATAGACTGACCTCCCTTCATTTTCCTCCTTTGCACCCTACCCTCCCATGAAACTAGAAGAGGATTCGGATAGCACAGTGATGTGCTATCACTGGATGTGCCAAGAGTATCCAGGCTAAGGAAGCAGTGAAGGTCCAGAGTCGAAAATACCTTGGTTCATTCAAAGAACAGAAAACAGAAAGGAGGCCCACAGGGCTGGAGGGAGAGAAGTTGGAGAATTCCAGATGAGATTGGAGAGAACCCTGGCCAGATGCCTCGAGGCACGGTAAGGGTGATAAGCTGGAGTGTGCCGAGAGAAGCTCCTCACTGAGTGGGGTTTCAGCAACCTCTGAGAAGGGTCCCACCACTTTTTTACCCACTTGCAGGCAGAAGGCTGCAGAGAAGTCAGCTCCGGCCATTGGTAGTTCAAGAAGGGTTGATTTTCAAGAAATACTCTCACTTTGCTATTCCCCTTTTCCAATTCTTCCTTGTCCTTTTTCTTCCTTGTGGGTGCTGGCGAGGGAGTCAAGCAAGAAAGTCAGTCCTAAGAAGGGAATGCTTTCCCTTTGGTGCCCAGGTGCCCAGAAGGGGATCTTAGAATCTTCTAAGAGAGATAAGAAGACTTCGGCCCAGGACCAGGCAGATATCCTCAGAGATTTGGGAGGCGGAAGACTTGGGAATGCGGGGGTTGGGTATGGCGCACCAGCCTTGACCGCGGGGTTTCTAGCTTCCTCTTTTAGAATCTTCAAAGGATCGGAAGCCTTCGTTGACCGGCCACGTTCGCCGGTCAGACCTCCACCACAGCGTCCCAGGCCCTCAGCCCCTCAGCCCCTCAGCCCCTAGGTGCTCTCCGAATTCCTTTCCCTTGCCCCGCCCCGGTTGTCTTCGGCTCAGCCGGGCTCTGGCTGCTGGTCTCTGATTGCTCCTAGCCCACGTCACTCCCAGTCTGGCCCCGCCCTCTGGGCACTGTCATTGGCCACTGGGGGGGTCGGTACGCCGCGGCTGCGGGGGGAGGGGTAAACGATGGGGAGGGGGCGGGAATTCCCGACTGGAGGCCGGAACAGAGCGGGTGCCTTGTAGTGAGACCCTCGAGAGGTGAGTGCGGGATTCCAGAGAGCGGGATCTGGGTCGGCCGCCCGGGCTTCTCGGGGCCTACGAGCCGGAGTCCAGGCTCTCACGTTCTTCTTCAGCTTCCCGGCACGCTGGCGGCCTCAGACCCCGCCTCCCGGAGCCCGGACTTCCAGACACCGCCCTCAGTTGTTGGGTCAGCACGTCCCGGGACCCCAGACGCCTAGGGCCCATCTTTGGTCGTTTGCCCCGACATCCCAGCCTGTGGCCTGAAACGGTCGCTCTCTGCTCTCGGGGGGATGGCGCTGGGGAAATGGGAGCGGGAGAGCACCCCAGCTCTCCCTGTTCAGGTGGTCCACGAAGCTACCCATGACATCTCTCCCTGAACCCTCTTCACTTCATCCATTCCTTCCTGGAAATGAGGCTTGACCTCTCCTTTGCTTAGAGGACCCCAGCTCTCTAGTTTTCTGGGAGCTCCGCGTGAAAGGGTAATGAGATATCCACACAGTCCTCATGCCTCAGTTTCCCCCTTGCTAGGTCCCTGAATGAGTCACTTGAAAAAGTCACTTGAAAGGGATAAAGTCTGAGGGGAAAGAGGGATATTCCCAGTACAGGAGTGGATGAGTCACACTGGGATAGGGAAGGTCACAGAGTGGCTGGGGTGAGGGAGCTGCGTTCTGCTGACCAGCCTTCCCCTTTCCTTGGCCCCATATTTCCCTTGTGACCACTCCCCCACTCACCCTGTCTTCCTAGGTCTGAGAGTCA